TTATATAATGACAAATAATAACTTATTTATGGTCACTAAAATATTGTATTTAGGACTATAGAGATATAGGAGATATACTGATGGAAATCAATTTAAAATGTAAACCGTTGAGGAACCGTTAACGTCAATATAAGTCATATAAAGCAACCGTGATGTCTGAAACACAATAAATAACAATGTGGCCATTATTATAATAGTGGTAGGTACAGTGTATACTATTATACATAAATGTTAACATTTTGAAAAACGCCTAGTATGTTCAATGGAAGGTTGTTTGTATGCGGATAAATGTAATTGGTCGAGACCTCGTGTGTATGCGTGACAGGTAAACTTGATAGCAGACACCAGAGATAATGTGTTGGTGTGTGAGCATTCTCAGATCCGTCGCGTTGATTAATCAATTACAATAAGTTACCAATTTTACAAGTTGTTAATTAATCGGAGGAAACATCGGCAGACCCGTCGGTAGAGCGGTGTTCGGAAGGCGGCTGTCTTGGTAGAAAACAGTAATAATTATTATTATGTCTTTGGCCGAACGCGAACCACCGGAATTCCAAACATGTGTGCACTACCCGAAGCGGTTGATCTTACACGGTACACGGTCACGCGATCCTGTTTGTGTGTATTTATGGAGGATTTACAGGAACCGATTTACATAGTTTCTTTGGCCTATGAGTCGGTATGGGTCTTAAGCACACGGGTCTGAGGTCAGGCTTGGCGTTTCGTCTTTGCCAAGCGAGTGCAATCAACGCATACTGTTGGACACTAAACCGTGAGAAGTCTTGAGAGTGAAGCAAGTGAGGTTGTACGGCTCAGGTTTACGATAGTAATTGTTCAAAATAGAGTAACCAGTTTACCAAAACCCTAGTCCCTATAGTAGCAAAACGGTCGAATTTCCAACAACACAAAGAGCAAAATTATGAAATACTTGTATTGAAAATACACGAGGTAATACGTTTTGAACATTTTACTTATACAATGTTCAATATTTATTCTAAATTGTTAAACAAATATATTACAACGATTTTGACACTTTTTTGTGAATTGTAAATAAATGATAACCGTATAGTTAGGTAATACGGTAATAATTATCATATAATACAATCTTCGTATTTTCAGTTATAATTTTATAACGATTTTTTTTTTTTACATATAAAACTTAATACGAAAAATTCATACTTCTTTATTTTAAAACTATAAATCATACTTCTCCTCAATTTTCAAAATGTAGAAAATATATCAAAAAAATACTTTTAAACGAGGGTTAACTGATGGTTGCATAAAAAACTTGAGACGATTTTATCCGTAAATGTACTTAAAAACACCTTGTTTTTATTTGTATCTATGGACAAAATTATCATAACATTTAATATGTTCCTTTGAGTGATGAGTGTAGCTGTTAATTTCTTCTTGGGATGATTGGGGTAAGTGTGTATCTGCCATACTTGTTGATTGCACCGACCAACCCGGGGCAGAGTGTTTATTGCGAGCGCTTTATTTTATGTATATTTTTAATAATACGGTTATGGTAAACAATCGCCGACTGCGGCATTACCATACGGTCCGTACTCTCGGCTGATTAATGACCATCGGTATGAACGTTTATAACATATTATCATCTTATTGCGTAGGGTGTACGTATTATATTAAATGGGAACGCATGTGCACTGGACACGGTTAATATATTATTATTTCATAATGCAATGACGAATCCGATCAGCGCAAGACCTAATCCAACGTTTAGGTCCTGCGAAGACGGACCGCCGTCTGTCAAGAAATAATATTATGCATCAGAAACGATCATTGTGCAGCTATTACTGTACTCCGGCTGGCCGAGAGAGGAAAATATGACTTTCGTTAAATTAAATGGCCCGAGACAATAAGATATACTACAATATTGATTATCCGTGTGCCTGCGCTATATAATGCTGATGATTGGAAGGTAAAAAATAAATTAAAAAATCGTGCGTTATTATTGATTTTTTCTAACCAATTATGTCTAATAGCGTTATTGTCGGCCGGTTATGAAAACGGATTTTCATTATGATTTCTGTTGTATTGTTTTTACCGTCAGACCAGGATCATTTTTTCTTAGTTATTATTTCCATAGCCTATTTTCTTTTCTATTGTGTGTGTGTGTGTATGTGTATGTGTGTACCTCATTGGGTCGCCCGCCAAACAGATCACGTACCACCACGATACTAGTCCCATATACTAGCGGTAAATACATCTGACGGATACCAACAAAAAATATACTAGTCCGGTTAATATAATGCTCTGTCCTCTCCTTTGTTTTATCCGCAATACATTATATGGAACCCACGCGAACGGTCGCCTATCGTCAAAACAACATGTTATACCTAAAGCTGTTTAATATGTAATAACATTATGAATCATCAAACAAGTACCTACTCGCATGGGCGAAATCCACTTTGATACGAAGCGCATAACGTCCTACGAGCGAGTGATCTACCAGCCTCTGTATAGTCATGTGGTAAAATAAAGACTCGTCCTACTACTTGTTAATCTTGGAAACGTACATTTAACAATTCTAATTAAAAAATAAACCGTTGAGATCCGAAAATTCAAAAGAGACGTTTTTTAAATTGTATTTAGAACATTGTCATCAAACGCTTTTTGTTTGATATTTATCTATTAGATTTTTAAACGGTTAAAATAACGTTGCTTTGGTAAAATGTACTGTATAACGGACACGGTCGATATTGGTGTCGATTTTGAATTTTCGGTCATTATTATTATTTTAAACAGAGGCGTATTTGGTCGATAACGCTTTGTAACGGTGTGGGACGACATTTTTCGCCAGTCATTTTCCCCCAACGGAAATATTATTACGATCACACTGTTTTATATTATCACGTTTGTAAACACGTGGTGACAAAACCGACAACAGCATCTTATATACATACCACAATAGCAATTATTGTAGTTGTGCATAATAAGTGCTATGAGGTATCAAAGACGAGGACGCTGCAGGCGACAGTGTCCAAACAGATCCCCGTGGGGGCGTTACGAAGGACGTCCGGACGTACCAAATAACGATAATATTGTATATTAATATATTAGTATTGTTATTATGATGATGATTACACAACAGAGCTGATGACAAATAGAATATTATTACCAGCAGTGTCTTTTGGCCGGACACGCGTTTGTTCGTCAATAGGCCGAGCCATTGTTTGTGCGCGGACCACATGGCTAAGGGTGTTTTAATTTCATGCGATTCGCGCCGTGCATAATTCCCTCAGATAAGACCTTTAGTTTAAAGTAAATTATATGTAGATGCCCGTGGTGGATACCATCAGTGCATACTTTGATCTATAAGACAAACAAGACCACAGACAACAAACTGTCGCCGTCGAAGGCATTTCGTCGGTCACGCCGACCTTATTGTGGCAAACTCTTATGTCACTCGGTTTCTAGAAGAAAAGGCACGCCAACTGGAATGCACCGATAGCTTAGCCGCGATTGACTCGTTGCTAGAGCGTTGCCGCACTGAAATATTTTTAAGGATTCGTTCATCCTGTCTGTTCACACAATCAGACATTTGCGGCGTCTTAGAATTATAGAAACGAAGTTGAGTAGATATTTTAATTTGTGGTATTTACCCATAGGGTTGACTTCACCACTGGGTATTATTGCAGTATGCAAAGTACATAGCATATACGAGCATAGCATTTTGAATAGTACAAGAAAAACTGGTCTTGTCAATAGAAGCCGCTCGTAATTATTCTAGATTTTATGATAATAAAACTGTCAAGAGATATTTTTATCTCGGGACTCAATGATTCAATGCAACGACAGTAATCCTCAAAAGCGGCAAGGTGATAACATTTTAATGATACAAAGACGATTAATTATGTATAATTTCTTGAAAAATACAAATGTATTGCGTTAAAACGTAAGAAAAGCTAATCACTTTCGAAATTTCCCCAAAGCGATTGGCTGTCGATGGGACAATATCAATGACAATAACACACTGTTATCATTAACTTCTAAAGTTCAGAGGTCACCCCGTGGGTTAAACTGTTGCTGGCGCTGCTTCTGAGGTTAGCACGTTTTTAATTACATTGCAAAACCACCGCAGTGTAACCGGCCAAACGGTTTCGGATGGAGGAGCAAGTTGTCCAATGCTCAGTGAGCGCGTTTTATATACACACAAGAAATGTACTTAAATGCAGTTTGCGAGCTATTATTTTTAATTCCCGACCCGTTTGCCTGGGGACCATAAAAATCATAACACGCTCTCGGGTCAACAGCGATATCGGCAGTTAACAGCTAATTGTATATAATTTTATAATATTATAGACACCGCATGACCACCGTAAACGCCCTGACAAGTCTATTTTATTCCCGTCTGGCTAGTACTAGGGAGTTTTTCACAATAATAATAAATGAAATCCAAAAGTTACCGGCCCACGACCTATTGTACTTACCGCCACTGCATGTCACATACACACGTTTGTATTGCACAGATTCCGGTATAATTTAGTCGTCTGGGCACCACTACGGTCAACCTTCGCGTATACGTCCGTTTAAACAATGGGACGGCCATGTTATATTGTTAATGGATTTATTTTTTTACAATAATGACGAAAGCGGAGAAAAAAATGCCGACCGAAAGCAATAACAAACCTACCCAATCCAAACCTCGTTGCACAACACGGTTACAAGTAGATTATTGTTGGTAAAGTCGCTGGCTGGTTAATCCGGTCAACCACTAGACCATAATAATAATAATATTATATCAATTATTATCAGTAGTATAATATAAGACAATTTGTATACACTTATATATTATATGATATTGTTTTCAAGTGTCACACTATACTCGAGGATATCGGGAGAAACAACGTTTTTACATTTACCTTAAAAGACAAATTATACTTCTTTATTATGGATAATCACAATAGAGGAACCCGATTAGTTTTGGAATGGCTTATGGCCGTACCTACAATATTATATATTTTGATTGGACTTACCTTTAGGGTCGTTGGGCGATTCCAGGGACCGAACCGACAGCAAAGAGAGCAGCAGCAGCAGCAGGGGTCCGGTAGTTATCGGATACATGTTGACCGATAATAATATGTTTTCGGGTACGAAATGGGTAAAAAAAAAATACCGACCGTTTAAAAATATAAAAATAAATAAAAAAAACAATTAAAAACAATGTATATTATACAAATATTTTTTTTCTCTATTTAATCCGAAATCGAGGGCGTCGGACGAACGGACTGGTACGGCTGAGGCGGCGAGAGCATATTTTTTTTTTTGAAATTTTTTTCAAATAGTGGGTAAGTATAAATATCTGTTTATATATAAATATATAATGTATTCGTAGAATATTATTTAATAATCGATCGATGCGGTCGAACGCGATGAGATGTCGGCGAGACGCACCCAACACACCGGCAACAGGAACAACGTGTACTGGCGGGCGATCGTAGCCGCTGATGGCGGCGACCATGGTCTGTGCTCGCCTCCCGCCAAACGCCTCTCCGGTCGGCGGGGGCGATTCAAGTTTGTGCCCGTTCACCCCGTGCGAACCGCACTATCACCGCGGCCGCCTCCGTGCACGTTGAAGTAATGACACATTAAAGTCTACACGCGGAGGCGGACGTGTATTTGAATAATAATTATTATTGTTGTTGTTACACGGTATTTATAGGTAGGTACGATATTGGTATTATAATATACCTACCTACCGACGGTTCGATTCTTGCAGTTAGGGTACACCTGTAGTCAGCCCGAATGGTCATTAATGTACAATGTTCACAAGACTATAATCATCGACATTATAATAATTGAACCGTTTAGTTATGAAAGGTCAATAGGTCACAATTTTGTTGAAAATTACTTTTTTTTTTTAAACAAATATGTGCTATGTGGCTATAAGCGTATCGTTTACTTTTGAAAGGAATCAAATCTGTATGATAGTTCATGCCATTGTAACGATTCAAAAATTTGTTTATGAATATGGTTTAATTCGTTCAATTACAACTCCTACTGTGGGTTAAACAATAAATTTGAAAAATTTATATACACAAATTTAAATGAGTATAATGCACAATAATTAAAAGTATTTTTGTAAAACAATTTTCTAGTAAAATTGTATGTGAAAAACAGATATTTTAATTTCCCAAAAGTTTAACTTTATGGACTTAACTCCTTTCATAAATAATGGATTTAATTAAAGAATAATTTTTTAATGTAATCGAATTACTTATTTACGGTAAAAAATCAATAATATATAAATAACAAATTATAATTATAACCATTACAATAAAAACTTAAACGGCTTCTCTATATATTATTTGGTTAGGACCGACTAATCGACACTTGTTTCAGCCTGACCTAACCTTACCTACAGCAAAGCAAAAGAGACATTACACTATATTCTATACAACGTTTTCATGCATAGCATAATGTTAGAATATACATTTCACGTACTAATATCATTTTAAGGTTGGATAAGAAAAAAATTATATTTAATTATATATTAAAATAAATTTTAAATACTAGCGAATATGAAACTTCACAACTTCTGTTATGTGTAGACTGTGAAACATTTTTCGTTACAATGATGTTTATGAAAAATTGTGTTAGCTAAGTATAATTTATTATTTATTAGCGCAATAATAGTATATACATTAAAACAAAAAAAGTACTTAAATACATAAAAACCATTTCTAAGCTATATTTGTTTTGTTAGATAAATATCGCGTAAAACATTTCAACCAGTGATAATAAAGTAAGAAACATAAAGCCATAAAATATATTTTATGTAAACCAAAGACAATAGCCAATAACAAAGTATGATATTTTAGAATTAAAACGTTTAGTGATTAACTACAGCAATGTGAAATAAACGTAAGCTGTTATTCATTACTTAAACAAAATATGTTGACCGAAGTTTAAATATAACACATTTGTACCTAAAATAAAAATGTACAATATGAAAAAGGCTCAAAAACTAACTTTTAAAAAATAATTAGCAAAAATACTTATTTTTTAAAAATTCAGAGAGCTTTAGATGACTCAGCTAGGGGCTTAATTCTCCTAGCACACTAGAAACTATACCCCTAGAAATAATATATACATAACAACTACTACGTTAGAAGCGTTACTGATATTTTCTAACTTCTATGACATTTCTGTAAAAAGTTTTATGTCACACTAGGCAGTCTACATTATTTTCATATTACATTTTTTTTTTTCATATATACCGCGAGGTCAAAACAGTTACTGTTTAGGTTTAGCACTTTGGTTAGCGGCTAGAAAGTCATTTTGGGTACTTCGATATTGTTAACAGCTTGTGATTTCCTTATTGTTATTTCAGTGATTTATATCTCATTTTTTTAACTGTGCAAGCGATTAATGTACAACCATGCAAATATCATCTGCAGTTGTAATTACAATTATATTGCAAGTATACACGATTCTTATATAGGAAGTCCGCCAACTAGGTTCACGAACGAGAAACGACAATAAATAAAACAATAATCAAATGCTTGATAAATTGCCGGTCGTGAGCATAATTATTATCCTACACGTTAGGCATTTATGCATACTTATTATTTATTTTATAATTGTGTGTGGTTAAAATTTTTTTTTTAATCACGAACAATATTGTTTGGCTGTCACGTTTGAAGCAATTACAATAATACCCAAAGTGCATATATTTTGTGTACACACTATACAGTAAACTCTTACACGGTTGACCAAGATTAACAAATATAACTAAAATAGGACCTGTAGGATCGAAGTCAGTGATTTCGATTTCCTATGAACGTGATCAATATCATTAATATTGTTGTTGATGGAATAAACGATTTAAACTTATCTATGTACAAAACATCATAAGCATAGTTAATATTACCATAATATGATGTATTATTATAATAACCAGCCACCAATAAATAATAATATCTAGAGTACTATTATCGTTAACCTATTTATTATTATTACATAATTGTTATTATTAACTCATATTAATTGTCAATTGCATGTACTAAGTACTTAGTAAAATGTATGTTTTGTGGAAACCTAAAAAAGACAGCCCGTTTGAACAATTGCCAGACCTTTTAATTCAACTACGACATAACCACAGAGTTAAAAAAATGTACTTAAATATTTGATAGATAACATGTTGTCGCCAAACTAAAATTAATTATTCAAGCATATATTATAATGTCTCTTATATAGCCCCTTCCCTTTTTTTAACTTAAGGTGCAAAACGCGTTATAGCCCACATATATTACAGACAATAATAGGTACATTTTTTTTTAATATTGTTACAAGTTTATATTACAATCGTATTTAAAATATTAAAACAGATCACCTAGCAGTTAAACTACTTATATGTATATGTATCCTAGAAACAATACACCGTTATATTATTAATATTTGTACTACTGATTTGATAACGTGGGCCCTTAGCAAAGCTCGTACTTAGCGTGACCATTATGGATTTGCAATCGAACGAAAGGCGTGAAGAGTTCAAAAAGTATTTGAGGGATTCGGGCATGCTGGAAGCTTTCATCAAGGTGATAATGAGTATATACGAAATGGAAGACAAGCCAGATGACCCTTTGGACTACATCCGGACACACATGACCGAAACTATTGAAGAAAAAGAAACGTTGGCCATGTTGAAAAAAAAACACGAAGAACTTATAGCACAGATCAACGCCACGAAAAAGGAAAATTTGAAAATAGCCAGAAAGCTGAGAGAGCTTAAGCATTTGGAAAAATATGGAGAGCGGTTGGACGAAATAACCAACGGGGACAATTACTGCACTAAAAATGAAATGGATGAGTGAACGCGATAGGCAGTGTTAGTCCATTAAAACATTATTTACATTATTATTATTGTGAAAAATAAATTAAGATTTACTTTTTGAAAAAAACAAAAACTATCCCAATTACTCGTGAGAAATTTTCTAATAATTATTATCTAAATATGTAATCGATTATACAGCTAAATAAATCAGTATTGTAAAATTAACGAGATTCTTTAAACTTAAAACGTCATGTTTTTATGTTCATAAATACATAAATTTATTATCTAAATCAGATAAACAAAGAAACTCTTTAATTGAAAAGATAAATCATGTATAAATATGGACCAAAAATTTTTGTATAATTGTTTCCTAGATGCGACAAAGTTTAATGCCTATTTAATAAGACTTCTTCAAATAAAATTAAACTTTACTAACTATGCAAATTTTGGGACTTTTTACAAAATTAATTGGACTGTATTATTCTTCCAATACACATTTATAGATTTTAAGAATGTACAACAAAAAAATATGATAATATGATAAATATATAAGTATCCACTGATTTCTTTCACCGACTCGAAGATAGTAGTAATTTGTTACACTATTATAAACGCTTAATGCCAGCTTCGAGCGTTTATATCTGAGGTTTGGGTCAACAAGGGCAAATGCTACTCTTTATTTGGTATAAGTAGATATTGTAGTTATAATATCAGATTTCAAAGCTGTCTATAACTCTGAGTGGTTTCAAGTCAATAAATATTTATTATATAAAGTTGTACAACTACAGTGTATTTTTGGCGATCAATTGTCCATATTATTAAACATTCTATATTATTGTCTTTTAAAGACATCGGTGTCAGTTATGTGCTTATTAGTTTGTTCAGACGACTTAAACATTTTTTATTATACTTTCACGATAGTCTACAAAAATTGTCACGAACAAAAGAAGTTACAATAAATGGGCGAAAAAATGATTTGGCTCATATATTATTATGTACATAACAAAAAAAAATTGTTTTTATCGAAAATCAAACATATAGTAAATGTAATATAGCAAGAGGAATTACAATTAAAGCGCAAATTTAAACTTCGTTTGACAGCAAGTTAACCAATTACCATAATTACCACTATAACATTATTGTAGAACTGCGGTAGATTAGGCTTGATAGGACCACAATGTGTACACATGTTAATTTGTATGCTATATACAGTTTGTAAGTAGGTATTATTGTAGATAAAACAATAGTCGGATGGATGTAAAAAAAGCACATAATTTAAAAACATGACAATATTTGCATTAACAATAATGTGTTTTTTAAAGCGTTTATTGAGAAGAATAATTGCCAGGCTCAAGTTTCGACTACAAATGACTATAATGCGTATACATACACTCAACCGTTTAATTTAGGACAAATCCTTCTCATATCACTACTACTAAACGTTATATATTGATTCTACTGTTGGACTACTATGAAGAACAATGTTTATTTCTTCTCTACGGCCACGGTGGGAAACCACGTCTGGCAAGCTTCGGATGCGATTTGACACATGGTGTATATCGACTGTTTCGGATTGTCATACTCTGAAAAACATCAAAGTATATTTTAGTATTATCTATACAAGTAATTCAACAAATTAAAATAGGTAACACGGTTTCCGCCAGAAAAACAAACATATTTTTATAATGTTTCTACATCAACAACAAAACACATACAAATATACCATTCCCCCCCCAAAAAAAAAACCTAGACATGCAAAGCTATGGTCAAATTTGTATTCTTCAAAATAAATTATATAAAACCAATGCGTTTTCAGTTCTTGATTTCAACAAAATGTCCTAATAAAACTCTATTTGGCAGACATTGGGTTTTTAGGCCGACAAAAGGGGGTGACTATAGTAGTTTTAGTGTGATGCAAAGTTAGAAAAAAAACATACCATTCAATATATCGTAGTGATAAGAATTAACATACCAATGGTAATAGTACCTTGAAAAAAACAAAAAATATTTTTAGATAAGGGGTAAACAATTTTTTTATCATGTAGAGTAACAATTGCTTAACAATGTGGACATTTTCCTTCTTCTGTGTTGCCATATTGGTTTTAGCCCTACTATTTATTTCACTATCGCATACAATCTAGTATTATGTTAGTATATTTTATTACTCTATGGCCGACAAACTACAGCGCACGAGTGCAACGCAGTTCGTATAGCCGGTATGCCTTGTTAATAACTACACGTTCTATAGAACTAATACAAATAAATACTATATTGTAATGTCTAATATAACAGCTGATTTATTATAATATGCTTAAAATTTTATTTTTAACATTAGGTTTGATCGTCTGTTTGTCATAATAATTTGTTGGCTTTGTGACCCATGTATTGTAATTAACAATATAATAAAACTATGTTTCTGATACCTGTTGACCGTTAATACATTCACACATAGCACCTGGCAACTGTATACGGTCAAAGTGTAGTTTTCCCCTTTTTCTTGATTTTTCATTAATGAAAAAATAGTTTAAATAGAATTTATTTTTAAGTTATTTATGTGACAGCCTCACACCTTCAATCTAATTTTCATATCTTAAGTCATAAAACATGCATCGAAAAAATGAAATAACTAAAAATAAAGTTCCTATCCCTTTTAAGGTAGAGAGGTTTTGATAATATACTATTTGGTTAGTCAACTACCATAGATAGTACTATATCTAACTACAAATTTTTTTTTTAAAAATACATCATTGTAAAACAATACTTTCTCAGTTCCCCTTCGAAAGTTAAAAAAAAAATGTCTAAGCTAAAAGAACTATTATTTTTGTACACTGTTGTCCTTTACCGGGCACTGGGGAATTTCGTTTTCCAAAGATGCTACCGTTGAACGGTGGTTTTCTGAATGCCTCGGCAGAAACACAGGCGGTCATGAGTACGACGACCATCAGAAATACAGCATAGATATTCTTGAAGTTCATTTTTGATTTGGCTTGTTTGGCGATGTTAATTATTGGTATTAATAATCTGTTGAAAATATTTATAATATAATTTACACGTTATTATGCTTCAGATTATCAAATATAATGAGTAGTATAAAATTAATATTTCAAAAGTGATTAGCTTAAAAAATATTTGCTTATTGCTTAGAACAGTTTAATAAATTACTTGTGATATTGAAAATAAAGTTAACTTTTTCAACTGTCCATGTTTTGTTATAATAATAACATTATTGCTATATCCCTAAAATATAAATATTTTTAATTTTGTTCTGTATAGAATTTAATATTATGTTTTTTTTATGCCAACCTAGAACATCAATTTATCTTACAAAATATTACAAAGAATTGTCCAATTCTTATAAAGTCGAAATTTCGGGAAAATAAATATTGCGGTCATAAATAAATTAAAAATAAATTATGTTTTTTAAAAGAACTGCATTTTAATCTTGACATTTTCTGGTATATAGTCCAGGTTTGAGCTAAACATTTTGTTTAAACAAATATACATCTCAAGAAATTATTATATTTAGATTGTTATGCTATACAGGGTGTCCCATATTAAAATACTAATCGATTTTTCTCTAAAAATACTAATCCAATCAAAAAGTTGCTTATAAGAGACTTTTAGAGTACAAAGGGGGACATTATAAAAATTTAAAAAATAGGGTCCAAAATTCAAAATGGCTGACTTACGGTCAAAAATATGTTTTTTTTAAATGGAAACCATGCATTTTTTGTTAACCAAAGAAATGTTCTTATCAAAACTAACAACTTTTGTAGGAAAATTTTTTCGTTAAAACCCATAATTTAAATGGTAAACCCCATAATTTGTAAATGACAAGGTTACCATATGGATTAAAATAAAATAACAAACTAAAAATAGCTAAAGATACTTAATTTACAAATTATGGGTTTTACCGAAAAATTTTTCCTACAAAAGTTGTTAGTTTTGATAAGAACATTTCTTTGGTTAACAAAAAATACATGGTTTCCATTTAAAAAAAACATGTTTTTGACCGTAAGTCAGCCATTTTGAATTTTGGACCCTATATTTTACATTTTTATAATGTCCCCTTTTTGTACTCTAAAAGTCTCTTATAAGCAACTTTTTGATTGGATTAGTATTTTTAGAGAAAAATCGATTAGTATTTTAAAATGGGACACCCTGTATAAGATGGTTTTTTTTCTTTAATCATTTATTTTACTTCATCTTCAATAATTTGAATAAAATCACTTTTATACTTTTAAAAAATATGACCTATCAAACTAGTAACTAATGACAACACCTATTTTAAACAAAAACACATTTTTTAGGGTGAAGCAACCACGTCTGATCAGAAGGTACTCTTTTTATAGTCACTTAATTGTATTGTATTTGTAAATAGTATACTTCATAATTTAGTAAAAGTTTTTACATATAACTAGTTTTTATAGTTTTATTTAGTTACCTACTCTGCTTCATTGAACACTATTAATTTATAAAAGATTGAACACAAAATTATATTCCATAGATAGAATTTTGATTAATTTTTTTATTTAACATACTTAGAATAATTTAAAAATTGAATTCGGTTTTTGGTATTTTCATAGTATTATTAATGACTCGTTTTTAATTTGATTGATAAATATAAGTAGAATAAGCGTTATATTAGTACAAAAAAGTTCTAAAGGCCACAATAGGTCGAGTTTCTACTCTAATAGTTTATTAAATTATAGAATAGCAGTTATTTTTATAATTAATTACGTTTTTTTTTTGTTATGACTATTTTTCGTCGTAATTGAACGTTATAGTCAGTTAGACTATATTGAAAAACAGGTTTACCTACTAATATTTTTGTTAAAATTGTTTAAAGTAGAGAAAAGAGGGTTTTAAGTGGTTGTAAAATAACACTTCAAATTTAATTGTATCATGTCGTTTTATACATAAAACAAAATAAGATATTACATCTATACAAAATGTTTGTCTATAAGTTTCAGAATTGGGTATGCCTAAACATGTGACTTACTATAATTAATTATCACTTAGGATATTAAATTACGCGTAATACGATTGTAAATTAATGACGTCATTGCGCATAAAAAATCCATTCTTATTTTTGTAAGCAAACCGATAAATATGTTTATTATAATAACGGTAGACTCAAATCTCAATGCAATACATTATCAAAGGCTTTGATTAATAACATTGAAATTAAATATATATAAATAAATTCGATAATATAAATTATCAAAAACAATAATAACACAATATACACAATATTTGCACAAGAATAACAAATACGCCAATACATTTGACTTTTTATTATTCCCTGTTTATTAAGTACCATACGTTTTAAATTAGTCCCTGGTATACAATATGGAGGATTTGTGTAATCAATTGCGGTATAAGCACATTTACAGTATAAATGTATGAAAATTTCGCATTGATTTTGCAATCATTGTTGTACAACATATAAACCGACATTGATATCGGTTATTTATAATAGATTAATATAATCTATTTTTTTGTATTTTATATAGACTATTAATCATTATTTGATTAATTATTAATCAAATGACACATATTTTTTCGCAAACAATTGACATTATTGAAAAAATATAATCAGCTATACTTTATAGTGTGAATACTATAAAGTATAGCTATACTATATTTTATATTTTTATCCCATGTACATAATGACATCTGTCAATTATTTTCTCTTGTTTTCTTGCTTTTATTACGTCCAATTTTCTGTTTTTAAAGTACCTGTCCCAGTATAAAGCCGCCTTTGTCTAAAAATTGATAAGGCTTTGAAAATAACAAAGGTTTTGGTACCGTAAGAAACTTTTCTCAATAATCTCCAAATGCAAAAAACTTGTTTACTCCACAAAAATCCTCTTATTAGCAATAATCTTATGCCACGTAAAAGCAAATGTCAGAAATCCGATCAGACCCTTAACATAGGTAAAAGTGTTTGCTCTAAAAATATGTCGTACGTGAAAAGTAACAACGCCTCGACAAGAAAACGGATTTTGTTAAATTGGATTTTTTTTTTAATACGAAAGTCTTCTGACAGTCTACCTACTTTGGATTTAGTTTTTCAAAATTAATGACCAGTTTTTACATGTAGACAAACTTAAAATGTAAGTATATTTTGTGCGAAAGGCCATGACAAGAATGGCTCCACTCATTTTAAAATACATTTTTATTGAAATGTGAACAAATTTTGCTCGTTGTAATGTATTGTAAGAATAAATACACAGATTGTAAGTGTACTAATGATGGGAAAAAATGTTACATAAAAAAAAAATTGTTGAGATTCCTTAAAAGAAATTGGTCACCCTTATTATTGTTAAAAAAAAATGTTTGTAAAATATTTTATTGTATGATAACCAATGCAAGTATGAATTAAAATGTTAACAAATATATAAATTAAAATGAATACAAGTCAATATTTAAATCGTATATTGTATTGGTTGCAGCCGATACGTCTTGATAATATTTTAAGCTTAATTTATTAACAGTAAATGCATCATTTGAAACATATTATGTTTGACTAAATTTTGGTCTTATTAAAATTACCCCAAACATCTATCAAACAAATTGTAACATGTTACATAAGTACACAACATAATATGCCAACGTGAATTAATAATTTACTATTATTTTATTAATAATTTTCTTTGAAAAAATAATTTACCGTTGTTTTATAATATAAAACAATTTACAGTTTTTTTTTTATCTTTTTCGGTATATTTTAGAGTTTTATCAATTTCTGTACCTTAAATAGTAACATTATATTTTTAAATACATTTTTAAATAGGGAACAATTTACTACAAATGTTGACTGGTCGATAACCAGGTTTGAATAGTTATTTTTGAAGTTATTTAAGTATAATAATTAGGACGCAAGAAAGAATAGAGTGTATAGTTTTCTTTTATCTGCGCGTATTACTCAGCTGCACTCTACCTCTCGTCATAAATATTAAACTTAATAACTTTAAAAGTAAGTATTCATAACTGGTTCTCGACCAATCAACATTTTCAGCAAACTATTCTAAATTTTAAAACTTAATATTATAATATCATAAAAATAACATTAAATGGTATACATGCGGTTTGTTTTTTGGACGTTTTGGACCAAAAAACCAGACAAATTTTCGACTACTCTGTCAAGAAATACGAGTTCTTTGGCAACTTTACTAGATAATGTCGGAAACAGATTTTTGATTTTTTGCTTTTTACATGTAAAAAATCAGGTGTAGTTCTTGAAAAAATTGCAAATTTAATTTACTTAATTACAAGAAAATGAAAATCGACTTCTTTGCAGAATTGAAATTGGACCATCCTATTTAGTCGAAATTTTGTCTGGCTTTTTGGTCTAAAATAAGCCAAAATGGCTTTTACTCGTAGAAAAAATTATTTAAAAATAATCCCTTGAAGCTTATATAAATTAACCGATAAATTAAGTGACATGGTCGAAATTTATTAAAACCTCTTTTTTTCTTAAATATTGTCTGTACAAAACTCCTTAAAAATAAACCGCATGCAATCCCCTTAACTAAAACGTGGCCAAAAAGAAAAACTACAAAATTGTGAATATTTTCAGGGAAAATGAGTGGCTTACGAAAAGGTATCTTTTAATAATTATTTGAATTAATATTTATTTGTATGAATATCATAAACGAAAGGGTGACATTTCAAATGTGATATTTTCAAAACTAGTAAAACTCTGGTAAAAAAATGAAAAAATAAATAAAAAATATTAAGCAAATGTTAATCATTATTTTACTTATGGTTTTAAATAATATGAAATATTAATACAAAATCGGTTTTCTTAAGAGTTAATCTTATTGCACCACAGTTGGCAATTTTACGTTTTGAAAAGCCACCCTTCAATCATTTCAATAATGATCATTGAGTATTCGAATAACGCGTTAAATGTAGCAAGTGTTGTTAAAAACTACTATGCCGTAACGTTGCGTTGTTCAATAAAAAAAAAAGAAACCCCGTCCGGTTTATATGCGTTCGACACTTGGAAGAAAAACGTTGTTAATTTGTATCGCTTCTATACCTACACTGGCATGTAATAATACTTTTGTTCTAAAAATAAAAAAATTGGCCGTTCTAATAATATTAAAAAAATAAAATAGAAACGTAAGTCTAGTCGAATGAAACGTTTGTTCTTACTTACCCACGATGATGCGAACCGGGTCAATGGTAGGGGCTCCGTTGTCTTCTCTTTGACGGCCAATAGACTACTTGGGCGCGACCCCGGTGCCGAGGTTCTTATATAGACTGGCGGCTGCGTAATTGAGTTGAGAAAGTCTTGTGCCGAGCTCGGCAAAATCCCTTATTAGTTGTTTCGCCGGGTTCCCAAAGGCGAAAAAATATTGTATTTTCAGCGGCTTCATCAGAAACCAATTACCACTGACATAACAGAATTACGGATTACCCCAAGTACCCGTCGGAGTGCGGTTGGCCCTTTCGGGATTTCCACCCAAATTCAATATTCAGCGACAACATAATATAACAAACAGCAACGCCGGACCGGGTTTTAATTTTAAACCCGGAATAATCAAAATTACTTACTACAAAAAAAAAAAAAAAATGTAATAATAAAATAATGGTATCATTACATAAGATACCTTTTCCCTCACGACAAACCCGAGCACTGGCAATATTCGCCTGTTATTAATATTGTACATCCCTCGTACCGGACATTTTCAACTATGTGGTCGAGTTCAATGTACCTATCCAGAAAAAAATCTTTACTCTCACACACACAACGCCCATATAGTAATAATACCGTGTAATGATAGTACTGTGTATATTATATTTAACACTATGTCGTCTACAGAAATAAGACGTCAAAAGACACGAATAGGACAATAATGATAATTATTGCAATTAATTCACCAATTCATAATATCAATTATTGTAGTTATTAAACATCCTATAATTAATTTTTTTTTCTCAAAACGTCTAATGAAAGTCAATGAAAATATAGTTATATATATTTTGTTAGATGTAAAATTTCCTTTTATCGATTATTGTCATAGACACGCTGTTTGAAATTTCAACAAGCGTTTGTGAATTTTTGTTTTTTTTTAAATACTGTTTGGAATTTAACTGTACCCTTTGTAATTTTGTTTTTTTTTGTTTAGTCATTGCTTGATGGACCTAAACATTGTTTTGCCGAAACAATAACCAGACTCGAACCCGGAGGATCCGCCACGCTCAAAAGATCTGGCCCAGAAAATGCACTATGGTCCGGGCGGTCGTCCTATGGACGAGTTCATCAGGCCATCTTACTGCATTAAATGTAAAAATATGACCGGACACAACACCCCATCCCGGTTGATAGTTATCAGGAACGGGCGGCCGGCCATGTCTTCGTTTTGTTGGACTTGTCGGTCCCGGAAAATCAGACTTGTGTCGCACCGATTTTACGAGACATGCACAGGGCGAAAGTATGGCCAACACATAGTCTGTAGTGTAAAAAATAAACCAAACACCTAGGAATTGGTGGGGGGAAGGGTTGGTTATACTTTAACTTGTAAGACACCTAATTAAAAAAATGTACTACTGTTGGAAAAAAAAAATGTTTTTTACTTACAATCCCAGTTGAATTCAAATAAGAAATCTCTGAGAAATCACTAAAAATTTCAGGTCTCTAGCTCATCCCCAAGTACTTCCTTGGACATTTTATTTTGTATTTGGTCAACATGGCAAATTAAAATTTTTCAATACAATAATGGTCAACTTGAAAACTAATCAAACTGTTGTCAATTAAAAAAAAAAAAAACATTCTTAAGGCTGAAATATTACGCGATAAAAAATGTTTTTATGAAGTAACAGCCAATTGAAACTGACAAGAACTTATAACTTGATAACCTGCTAAAAAAAATCATATTGACAAAATTATTTTTAGTTTTCAAGTTTAATAAAAAATTTGTATTTTTCATGTTAATTTATAAAAAAAAAATCATGGGAAAGTATAAAAAGTTGAAGTAGAAATTTCAAATGATACATAGGGTTTATTATTTGAATAGGCTACTGTCGGTTAAAAATATAGTATCATAAATTATATATTCAATAATATTAAATACATTTATATAATTATCATTTTGTAATAACATATTATACATTCAAATTTATACTATAAAAACTTAAAAGGGAAGCCATATGAAAAATGAAAAAAACAGTATAATATGTCTAATAGTTTTTTTATTATTTACTTCTATCATATATATTTATTTATATGTCCGTTTTTTATAATACAGTATGTTAGACGTATGAACTGTAAAAAGCTAATGTCTCCAAAATAATGGTTTCTATTGGCCACTTTTTAATAGTATCTTAACCAATACTATATAAGTTAAATATCGCTGGGGAACCATTTTATACTTAAAAATATAGATATTAAACTGCAAAACGTGTTGTTGTCTAGAAAACCGACAGCTATTTTTTTTGTAGTAGATCTGCAAAAATATTTGTACTAAATTAAACGTTTAACGTGTTGATAAAAGAAACGTTAAAAACATAGTATTATTCATTATGTTCAAGGGTACCCGCAGGTGAAAATTCGAGGGGGGGCCTATTATTTTGTAATAGATTTTACAAATTTGGTATATTGGATATATACTTTTTTAACTTGCAGAAAAGCTAAGAGGGTGGGAGTTGTCCCCCTTGCTCCTCCCTGTGTGTGCCCTTGGTTGTGTTAAAGCTACACAATGAATATCATAAAATACAATTTCCACCATGATAGCCAGTTCAGTTAGGTAAAAGCTATTTAGTTGTCTTTATCTGTTATCTGCTTGAGTCCGAATGATATATTTAATTTATGTACAGATGTGATGACACTCGGTGTTACTTAGTAGTCCAGATAATAAGAAAATCCCGTTAAAAAAATAAACAATTGTTTTAAATATAAACAAAAAAATAAATACGTTGGATAAAAGATTGTATTGCTCCCTTAATAAACTCACGGCATTCTATTGGAGTATTAAGAAATAAAGAAATAAAATTAATTTTTGTTCTTATCTTTATTTTTTGTACTTTATTAGGGTCATCATTAAAAGGAGAATGCATAAAAGAAAATATACTCAAGAAGAACGTTAATCACCGCTGAAATCATATAATGCAACATCGTAACGTCTTAAACGACCGTCTTGGAAGAATCATTTATAAACTAAATAATTATTCTTTAAATATGTTTGCAGACGTTTCATACATTTTTAACAATAAAATTCGTTTTTTTTAACCGGCTCTAGAACAATCTGTCTTTTCTTTTTACTGCCTAAGGTTTAGACATTTCTTTATCACATGCTGTTTTTATCAAAGTTTAACAAAAAGAAATTAAGATTTTATGTACATTACTTTTAATTGTTCAAGTGTTTTACCTAATGGAGTCTTCTTATTCACTCAACTCGACGCCAGCTGTACTCTGATAATAATCATATTCGTTATATACTTATACATATTCTGCACGAGGGCTTTTTAAATTTGGTTAGGTATCTTCTTAAAAAACAAACAAAAATAAATATGTATGCTATTTATTGTAACATTAACTTTTAATTTTTACTCCCGCCTAATTGACAAGATGTAAATTGTACAAGACAATTTGTGTAATCTTCTTTTTTTTAACCTATAATTATCATTCATATTTAGATATCATTATAGATTATTTATTTATGTATAATTTAAAAATGTTTCTAATTTATTTAAAAAAATATATTTTCATTAATTAAACGTTAAATATTTGACCCAACATTTGGGATGTTTAGGTTTTGAGTCGGAGCAGAGTTATTCATTTAACTTTAATCAATTACAGGTTAATGAGTATGACCTTTGCTTACATCAACGATAACTTTTCTTATAAAGTATACCCTACGAGGGATAACAATTATTATTGTTTATGAAATCCTTTTATCTGCATAGCGTGGCTACCAAAAAAGTATTTTGCGATTTTGGGAAATCGAATACAATTTATTTTAGCTTGCAGGGAAGAAGTTGTCCTCCTCTCTTGAACGCCCTTGCTATCAAATAAATCTCAGACCTCAAAAGCCTGAATAGGAAATACTGCAAAGCACCTACTTGTTCTTCATATCCAATATTTACCGCTCTAAATTATTGCATGCAAACTAACATTTATACACCAAATTGATTTATTTGCGTATAAATCATTAACATATTTTGTTGGTTCAATGAAAACAAAATTAAAAACACATTTTTCCTGGCAATTAATTCAAGTGAATAATAATTATTATTAATGCTGTCAAACAAGTGTCGTGCCCAGAATTGCATAGGTAATATGGAGGTAATATGGTAATATATAAATAGGTAATATGGAGTTTTATCACACAAAATCATTTTATTTTTTAATAAAAGTTAACCTAGTTATTATACCTACATAAGTATTCGTTTATTTCAGAATTAATTTATTTGTTATAAATTAATACATATTTATAACTTAATTTTTTTTTAGTAAGATGTATAAGTTTGCAATTTACAATTCTCACGTTATTTTTGCGGTATGTATAAATAATAATAATAAATAGTATAATATAATAAATTGTATTGGTTATATTACTATGATAATTAAAGTAGGTACAATCAGTCGTGAGAAAATTATTAATATGAACATCAACAAGTATTACTTATCTTACTTTAATCGGTTATTCAAATGAAATCATAGAACAAATATTAGGCTTTAAAATATAAATTTTAAGTATATTAACAGAAAAAATGTTAGTATTTGACTAAAATAATCGGCTAATGAAAAATTTACTTCATAATCGCGTTTTTGTGAGTGTTACCTACTTATGGAAAAATGTGTAGTTTTATTTTATTAGAATAATCAAGCAAAATCCTTTTTTTGAGTTCAATAAATACTTCGAAGAGAAATCTAATTTCTTTGCCACATATATTTCTCACAAATTTATTACACGTGAAACGAAATCTAATTTAATTTTTACACATTATTCAATAATTCTCGTCAAGTTTCCGTGTACATTTCATAGTTGACAATATGTTTTTGATCAAATAAATAAAAAACACAGAAACTGAACTTAATGCCGTTTAATTAAACAACTTATTGCAACTTTACTACACTGTGAACGATGATATTAATTTTAATAAAAGTGTAATATCTTTTACCTATGTTTTACCTTATACGTTGCCTACAAATTGAAGTGTAGAGCAAAACCTACACGAGAATATCTATTAGCATCGTGTTGATCCCGCCTGATAAATATATATATATATATTGTGTTAAACTTTATTGGCTTTTCATTATATTCGATTAACGTTGTTTCTTGTTTTAAAGGTTTTCGCATTGGTTCATATCGCTGAGGGTTGTTCCTACTTTGATAAATTGACAAACGCATGCCCTGCCACGTTAGACATGTTTGCTGAAAAGCACACCGCAGATATGCCAAATCTCAAACCAACCTTTGTCAGTTGGTTGTCGTTAAAGATAGAAGCATCGGTATCGTCCTCGCCTGACCAAGACCTGAAAAACAATGTGCAAAAGACGTACGAAATTATGGTGGCAGCTTTCAACGAAATTACCTCACAAGAAGAAAAGAAACGATTGGCTTACGATGCCGAATTGGTGGAAATACAAAACGGTGCAAACAAAGATGACAAACAATGCATTGTTCCGTTAACAGTGGAACTGTTAAGTTGTCCATAGCAATATAATAGGTACATAAATTGTACTCGACATTTTTAACACAAGTCGAGCACGAATAAATTAAATATATTAAAACCTTACTTATATTCGTGTACTTAAACTTTTGATTTGTTTTTTTTAAGGTTAATAATATTATTCATATATAAGGTTATGTATTCAACATGTTAGTCACACAAATAAGATTACTGATCATTAATCTATTAATATATAGTGGAATAATAATATATGCATTTAATTACATATTATAATACATAAATAAATTGCAATACTCTTATTCATAAGAATATTTAAGCATTTGCATGAATTGGTTCTTATATTAATAACGTGTATCTAATTATAAATCTATAAATCTCAAATGACACCAGTCTTTGAATAATTTAAAAAAAAAATTGTAACATTATGTTACTGGCACACTGTACAACGACGTATAGTATTAATATAAAAATAACTGTTATCAAACAAAAATTGTTAAATTAAAAATAATAATTACAACAAAATAATTAGCATGCAAATGTAAGCATGACACATAAACAAGTTTTAACTAAATCAAAAATTTAAATTTTCAAAATTAAAATATTTTAAAGTGGGAATCCTGTGTTCCACTTTAAAATATTTAGTTTATTTTCATCTACTTATCGAGTATCATTCTTATCAGTATGTTTTTTTTTACATGCGAGTTTTTTACCGAAATAATATTTTATTGCCACAACTCTGTTCCAAATAATATTATAATAATAATATGATACTATGTAAATATCCTAGTCTGACCAATGCGAATTCCAAAACGATTGGCATATTCTCACTTTGTACGCATATCCCGCACATGACGAATTTTTTATTTCCAAGCAGTGTTGGGAAAAGATAACTATAAAGTTATCTTGATAAGATAACGGATAATTGAGTAATATATCATCTAGATAAGATATTAAATTATTCATTTAACATTTATTTAGCTAAAAGATAAAGATAAATACAATTTTATCTAGATGAAAAATAGATAAATTAAATTTTAACCTTCATAAAATGTTATACGAAAATGTATGAGTGAAACAAAGTATTTTCACAGATTACAGAATAATTTAATAACCAATAAGACGTAGGTACTAAGAAATGGACAGTTACGTCAAAGAGCAAATTTTCCTTATATTAGATTTCGTGATTTATGGCTACTCTGTTCATTTGTCATTTATTATTTTCATGTACTCTGTTTATGTCATCTTTTATGTAGGCAACAGTAATAGTATAAATAGGTATAAAAAGTAAATACGAGTTTATCAAACTCGATAATCGATGACGGGACATTTCATTATCGGTTGAAACTATTTATAAACATATTGTTCTTTTTTGAGGCTTAACTATCGTTTTGGCCACATACGGTCTACGGACTACAAAGAGCCCACATTATGTTTAAAATGTTTATTACAAAGTTTTGTTATTTTATTTTGATTGAAAATACAAATAACTTTTTGGAAACGGCTGATTGTTTATTGGACTTGTATTACTATTTACTATTTTACTTTTATGTTCTTTACTCTTTACCCTATATGTAGTTACTGATACAGGACTCGCCTGACATGTATATATATTTGTAAAATATAATTTATAATCATTCTGCTCAAATAAACACCTGCACTTTCGACCATTTTTTTTGTTGGGATTTTGGTCTATGTTAATCTTGAAATTATTATCGTAAAAATTCTTATAAACACGTTTTATATAGCACTAGTAATTATTTCGAGAGTACTGGGAAAAAAATTATCAACATTAAATAAAAACTGAGCACTGTAGTCGAGAACTACGAATATAAATAATAAATTATACGATAATACATATATAACTCTTATCTACTTCTACCTATTAAAAATAGGTAAAAGACGTTTTGGTATAATCGACTAAAATACATTGGATTACAATGGAATATTGGACTTGTCTAACAAGCCAACCCCAATGTATTAATAATATATTCTTATATCACTAATCACTATTCATTAGAACCTAGGTATATCAATATTTTTAGGCTAGGACTACATTATACGTTTCGTCGGATCCCAAAACCTGTTTTTGTAAAACCCACGAATAAATAACTTAAAAAATAGTTACAATTTCTATCTAGATTAACTACCTCAGATAACCGATTTGTTTATCTAAATAAGATAATAAGATGATTTACTTTTTTTTATTTAGATAAGATGATTTACTTTTTTTTATCTAGATAAGATGTTAATTACAATTTTTTATCTAGATACTTTATCTAGATAAAATTATCTAGATAATTCCCAACACTGTTTCCAAGCCATAGGACATGTGCACAGACGTTGTAAAAAATGATTATCATACATATTTTAAAATACAACTCTATAGGTATTTACTATTTAATGAGTTTAAACATCTTAGTCGCGCCGTTACAACTTTTTGTCCGACGTCGTTTGCCGGTCAACACAATAATCTTGCAGATTAAGTTTTTTTTAAGCATTTCAACAACTGAAAAAGTAATTTTTGTTCTGTAAAATTCTAGTGAGCTTTTCCGACACATTAATGCACTAATATAAGATAATTAATTTATAACATATTAAAGCTGTTTCGAGCAAACAGTTTTGGTATGTAAGTTAAAAAAAAGGTGAAAAAAAATGTAATTAATAACTAAACCCAGTGAGATATTGAGTGGCCCATGATAAAAAAATCTCCCTGTACAATTATACTTTGTTCACTATAATAATTTAATACTATGAAAGTGCATAAAATATAATTACAAATAATAATGCATAGGGTAATGCATATTGATATTGTATTACTTATTATAGTATAAATAAGATTTTAAAATTCTCAGTGGCGGCTAGTGGTGATTTGACACAGAAGTGCGATAAAAAATTAAAAAATCATTAACCAAAAATGATTAAAAAAAATAATCGATTACATACTTAGATAATAATTATTAGAAAATTTCTCACGAGTAATTGGGATAGTTTTTGTTTTTTTCAAAAAGTAAATCTTAATTTATTTTTCACAATAATAATAATGTAAATAATGTTTTAATGGACTAACACTGCCTATCGCGTTCACTCATCCATTTCATTTTTAGTGCAGTAATTGTCCCCGTTGGTTATTTCGTCCAACCGCTCTCCATATTTTTCCAAATGCTTAAGCTCTCTCAGCTTTCTGGCTATTTTCAATTTTTCCTCTTTTGTGGCGTTTATCTGTGCTATGAGATCTTCGTGTTTTTTTTTTCAACATGGCCAACGTTTCTTTTTCTTCAATAGTTTCGGTCATGTGGTCCGGATGTAGTCCAGAGGGTCATCTGACTTGTCTTCCATTTCGTATATACTCATTATCACCTTGATGAAAGCTTCCAGCATGTCCGAATCCCTCAAATACTTTTTGAACTCTTCACGCCTTTCGTTCGATTGCAAATCCATAATGGTCACTGTCTAAGTACAAGAGGTTTGCTAATGGATACGTTATCAAATCAATAACAAACATATTAATCATATAACGGTGTATTGTTTCTAGGATACATATAAGTAGTTTAACTGCTAGGTGATCTGTTTATTTAAAAGTGATTTTATCACTTTCAGTTACAATAGTTCTTGTAGAGAAATGCATAATAACTAGTTTTGCCTATGAATTTTTTTGAAATTCAGGTTGCAAAAATGAACAACGCCTGTTGATTTGTATCCTACAAGTAGGTATATTGTAAAACATTTTTTTTCTCAATTCTATAATATGACGTGTACCTACTTTAAAATAGTCTTGATATTTTAAAAACATACAAAATTAGTAATTATTTTAATTTAAAAAACAATTCTCATAATATTTATTCTAAATATTATTACATATTGGTTTTCAGTTTTGTTCATCGGGTAAGGAGGATAAGGTTAGGTTTTATTTAATATCAAACTAATTATATTTTAACAAACTATTTTTGTTCATTAATTTATACGATTGTTGTATTATACTAGAAGAAGTTAATGTGACGAAATATTAAGTTTAATAAAAAATATTCCAACAAAACCATTTAGATGTGATTTTAATTTGTTTACATAATTATAATATTATTTTTTACAAAATACTTAAGTGGTCGAAACATTTGATTAAACAAAACATTAACAATAATAGTTATATCGCCTGGCGTCCCCATCTAACCTATAAAGTTATCTTAGCATTGACATTCCCACTATTTAGTATTTATGAATTTCTCTCTGTAATTTATAACTACGTACTTACCTTCTATATAGACCACAGTCCACATTTAATTAATTATTTATTATTCACACAAATCATACATCCATATTGATTTAACATTTACAAAATTTATAATTGAAAAAAAAATACAGGCGTTTTTTTTGACAATAACTCACCGCTAAAAAGTGAGTATAGGTTTCGCATAGGTATAAATTGTGTAGTTTGGTAGCATTCCATTTTAGTTTGCACAGTACCTATTTAACTGGCTGTAGATTTTTTTGGTTTTAAATTACTACGTGGTAATAAGGTACCAATTTTGTTTCAGAATGAAAGTTGCACTGAGTATTGTCGTAAGTATTTTTGCAGTTTGAGTGTTTACAATATTCCAGTATAAAAACATAAAAATTGTTATTTAAAAGTGATATTTATTAGGTATAAATATCACTTAACTATTTAGAAAAAAAAATATTCCTCTTATCAAACTAAGATTCATTTAAAATTTTACCTAATTTTTAAACTTTGAACTACTAAAAATACAAGTAAAAACAGACATCTTAATGCGACTTGCGAGGCTATGGAAGATACAAAGTATTAAATAAACAAAAAAATCACTATATTTATTATTAAAGTTTAAAATTTAGGACGGGAGGAAGGGTGGAGAGTAGAGATATTTTTACATGTACGCATTACTCAACCGCACTTCCCCTCCCGTTCTAACTTATACCAAATTTGTCCGTACTAATAACTATGAAAGTATAGAAAAAAATTATTAAAAAAAGTGTATTATCTTTTATGTTATTGACTGGGTCATACCTAATAACCAATCACCTGGTATTGCGTCGGATTACGATCAAATTCACTTGTTCCTATTTATTAAAATTGGAAAAATATTATAATCTGATACTTCATAGTCTACATATTTTTTCCTATACTTAGATAATCGCCTTATCTTATACAATTATATTAAAATGTTCCTCTATTCGTCACTCCATACATAACATCCGTTTAATTATTTTTGGGTATACCTCTATATCTGGCAATTCTTACTTTTTTTACCCTTAAATTTCCTTCCCTTACACCACACTGATACGAACTTGGCTTACTATCATTATATTCATCTTGTCCGCTATTAATATTTATAACTTTTATAGTAAACTTTGATCGAGCTACCAAATTTGTTGTAAAAGAGTTTTGAAAAGCATACAAATATTTGAAGGAAAATAATTGTTTTATATTTTAATATAACGAAAATGCCTGTTGTTGTATTTAAGGTAATCGCGTTGATTGATAACGTTTTTGGCTGCACCCAGTTCGATAAATTTAGTGCAGTATGCAATGAGGCAATACAGGCCTACGCTATAAAACACCCAGAGATGAAATATCTACGTCCAGCTATTGACAACTTCATCAAAGCGCTAAAAGTGCTTTCATCAACTGATAATCCGTCCAGACCGCAGGCAGCCTCGAGGGACGTGACTTACAGCCAATTGATCACTCAGTTCAACATCTATATATCAGAAGGTAATATAGCTGCTGCAGCACAAGAAATGGTTGATTTGCAAAACGGATTGAAAGAATGTGATCCGATAGCAATAAGTGATATCAAGTGTTGAATCACGACTTGATTTGTAAATTGACAACAAAATAAATAAATAAATAATATTTGTGTGTACTTATTTATCTTGTACTTTGTAAGTACAAACTTCACATTATCGTTATCTAATTATATATATATATATATATATATAATGTATTTTCCGAGACGACACTACGAAAAAACTGCAGTTTCTAAAATTGATAGTGTAATTACATATATTGTTAACATACTATTATATTCGATTATTATACTATTGTATAATATGAAATGCATAGCTTACAAAAAAAAAAAGTTTAACTTCCTAACGTTCTAAAATGACTTAAATAAATTTAGTCAGCTAAAAAGCAGCAGCAGCAGCAGCAGAATATTCAGAAATTAATATTAAAACAAAACGAATCATATTATACTTATTTTAGAAGTATCTATTTTTAGGATTTTTTTAATTATTGGTTGAAACTTAATAGGGTAATTTCTAAAAATAAAAAAATATCCCATACCTAAAATGTTCAAGGCTGAGATTTAAAAATTGTTAAATCGTTTGGAAGTAAATATTCGATATAATAATATGATTTTATATGATAATACCTTTTTAGACAAAAAAGTATTTGATTTTTTTTATATTTTTACTAATTAACCTATTTTTTTGATGTCAGTTATGATAAATTGGTAGTGTGAATGAAATTAGTCTAATAATGTAATAATATTATAAAACCAATTTTTTTTTACCGTTTAACCGTTCATCATATCATGACAACAGCAGGTGAGTAAATTACACCGACAAGGGCATCAGACCAGTAAATCAAAATGGCACATCAAAATACCTACTGTAATTGTATTGGATTCATCGGAAAATATAATTTAAAATTGATTAAATAATAATTCATAGTATTTATAATAACACAATATCCCAATATTTGGGTTATATTTGAATATTAAAAAAATTAACAGGCTTTTTGTCGACAACAATTTAACGATATTTGTATGACACTGGAGTTGAAGTAAATATACCTACATTTATACGGTATTTATAGCAGCCATTCAAATCAGTTTCCACAGTCGTAAGCTTAATGTTAATGCAATAATTAGGTATTTATATTGTTTCGGACAACTGAGTTAATAAACTATTTTCAAGATGAACGCAGAACTTATCGTCATTGCGGTAACTTTTCTACTTTATTGTATTTAATTATAAACAAAAATTGTACAAACTTAAGCATACGATTTAACGTTCATATAGATTAGTAAATACATAACGAAACATTAATAAATTATTTTGATAAAATTAACTTCCAGCAGAGGCCTGTGCGTCACATACCTATTTATTATCTATTTTTCATGTCAACTTTTTTTCCACACTGTTACTCCTATCTTGTTGTTTTTTAAATCTGATGATAAACTCTCTATAAAGTATTGAATGTTGCGGACCATAACAATAATTTATAAGAACATAGTTAAGCTTTTTTTTTTTTATAAGTATTTTTAAATTTTATTTTTATCAGCCCGAGAATAGCTTCTTAGAAAAAAATGTTTCCAATTATTTTGAACTGTAGTCGATGTTTTGTGTTAACATTTAGATGATCGCATTATTTCAAAATGCGTTGGTGTACGCTGAAGACACTAAACAACCTATCACTCAACCTCTTGTAGTTTGTAAGCTGTACGATTCGTTAAAAGGGGTTTGTACTTTCTCATTGAGCGATTTCGGCGCAACTCATCCTGAATGGGGACAATTCAAATTGGCTGCCAACAATTACACTGTAAAACTGTTTCTCTATGGTCAAAGTCCTGATGACAATAGGTATGCTGCGGCGACGAATGCCCTGAATTACTTGAAAGAAACGGTCAACAAGTATGGCGAAACACTTAGTACAGCGCAAATACAGGACTTCAAGAAACAAATTGTCGAAATACAAGAAAAAAAAAATAAACAGCATACCGAAGACTGTAAAAAATTGAATCAAGACAATCTTGTATGTTGATCCACAATAACTATGATATATATTATGCTATTGTATTCCAAAAAAAAAAAAAAAAATTAGCGACGCTAATAATAATAATTATAATATCATTGAAAAGCAATACACTCTATTTTGTACCAATATTTTTTAATTACGAAATTTACATTACCTACCTTAATTTTACTTATTAAGAGATAAGTACTATTTTTGAGATTATACTAAATTAATGAGTATCACTATTCAATAGTGAAACCCCCATTGTAGAAATATACGTAATAATAATTATCCGTTGTCCAATTATAATATATTTTCATAAAATGCTGAGTTACATAATATATAATTACCTACTCATCTTCTTCTACATCTATATAAATCTATACCTCTGCTCATATTAGTCTTAAAAGGTCAATGTCAACAAAAATGCCGTACCATGATTAACAAAAATAAGTAAGATCACTAAACAGGCAAATTAAAATACATTTAAGAATGCGTTAAAAAAGGGAAAATTAGAAAGTATAGCAGTGAGTACTACCAATCAACATTGACAAACCAAAAAGGGATTTTAAGGGACCCTTTCCTCTAGAAGGGATATCAATTTTTTCTTTATTTCACTTTTTCAAGCAACGTTTTTAAGGATTTAAGTCTGAAACATAGACTGAATATATATCTAGAATGGAACAATAATATTATTTTAGATTTTACTTTATTGGTTCTATTAGTCCGACTGAATGTGAAAAGGAAAATAAAAATAAGAAAAATAACGATCTTTATCAATTTTATTTTTGTAAATCTCAATATATTATTTTTTTAATAATTTCTACTCGATAATTAGGTGTTGTAGGGATGTATGAAATAATCACTTTACCACAATTTTAATTTCACTAAATGACTTACAAGTTTTGTATTTGTATTTTTCAAATCAAATTGACTTTTCAAGGTTTCAAACGATACTACGCTATTCAGCTGTGCACATAAAATAATTAGAACGTAATATTAAAATTAAATATTATCTAAGTAAACAGTTAATTTTGATAAAAATGCATAAACACTTACCTAACTAACTATTAAAACCCTAAATAAAAAAAAGGGTTATAATTAAAAAATCATAATTGCAAATTAATCATGAAAAAGTATTTATTGGTGTAATAAAAACAACTTATTTTTTTTATTGCAATGATTCACTGTGATACTCAGATATTTACCTAGGTATAAATGGGCACGCTATAGTAAAATTCCAAATCAGTTTTTACAATAACTGTTGTCCTATATATATTTTATTTTTTTATTGGTAGTTTTTTCCGAGATGAATGCAGCACTTTTTATTTTTGCGGTAAGTATTATATTGGTTATAAATTTTACAAATTAAATTGAGAAAACTGAGAAGGTAGGCACTGTTTTTACAATGATGTGTTTTTATTAATTATTATTTTTTTGTGCCTGGACCCAAAAGTGCCCGCAGCTGAAAATTTAGGGGAGGGGCCGTCTATGATTTTGTAATAGATTTATAAATTTGGAAAATTGGATCTATAGTTTTAACTTGCAGAAAAGCTAAGGGGAGAGTTGTTTCTAGGTTACTAGAATTTAATTAAATCAACTTTCAATAGTTTTCAGAAAAATATTTTCATTATATCTACCCACTGTTAAATTCAATACACGGGTAACAACGGCAATAAATTATTATAACTGGACTGACTACCCTAATCGTATTCGGGTCATTCCATGCCAAATAACTTAATGTGTGTAACGAGTGAATTTTCTAAATGCCTCAAACTTAGATATCCTATGCAAATGCAAATAGTTACATAAAATCGAAAAATTGACTTAGAGGATGCTAATATATTCCGCAAATTTGTTGTCAAAAATCTCTTAAGTTCACGACACGATATCAAAATGGAACTTTCACTAAACAATTGTAATTTAAGTGTTCTTTTTTATAATAATCATTTTTTTTCTCAAATTTTTAAGTATTAAATAATTAAAAATAAGAAATTGTCCACAAAAAATTATGAATCAAGAGAATTTAATTTGATGTGTAGCAGAATAATTTTTTTTTAAATTTTGACCTTGAGTTGGTATTAAAATTTAATGAAATTAATAAAAAATGTCGAATATGTTTTTCAATTTTTAGCTACAAAAAATGTTTTGAAAAAGAAAACTTAAATTACAATTGTTCAGTGAAAGTTTCATTTCGATATCATAATTAATCATTAGGACTTTTCTTGGTCGTGAACTTAGGGTGTTTCTACAACAAACTTACGGAATACTGCATCGCCCAAATCCAAAAAAAAAATATTTTTCTTCACTTTTTTTATTTTATGGAACTATCTGCATTCTGCATAGGATATATAAGTTTGAGGCATTTAGCAAAATCCACTCGCACACACATCAGGTGATTTTGAATAGAATGACCAATTTACACTAATACTAAAAATATTGATATTGCTTGTATATCTACAGATACACATCGAAGTGTTTATTTGAAAGTGATTTTATCACTTTACGGTATAATAATTTCTGTGGAACTATGACCTCCCCTTCCCCAATATGCTCCGTCCGGGTTTTCTTTCTGACTAGTTAAAAATAAATATATAGTTAGAAGGAGAGGTAGAACGAAGAAGAAGCTGCTGTATGTTATAATAGTGAGAAAAGTAGATAAATGGGGCGAGGAAGATAAACCTATTATAATTAAAAGTGGATACGACTTGAACAAAACCCACTGGGGTTTTTTTGTGGGAGGATGGGATTCGGGTTTTTTCGTCAACCCAGATAAGTAGTTTTCTGCACTGCTATTCATAGGCGCAATTTTAAATAGCTTGGATGCGCTTAGCACCCCTAGTTTTAAACTTACTACCTCAAACATTATTTGTGTTTCATACCATAGGTAAGTGATGATGGGTATTCGTTAATATTTCCTAATGCTAATCCCCCCACCCCTATTCTCGATTATTTTAGCGAAATTGCGTCCCTTCTACACTTACTCTATGGTATGTGTGTGTTTTTTGGTTCATGATGTAATACAGTCAAGAGCGGTAGCGTTCCAATGAACTAAATATATTATGTTATGCTGGTTTTAAAGGCAATCGCGTTGGTTCAACACGGATCGGTTGTCGTGGCTGAATATGGATTTGGCCCAAATGAATGTACCAGATTCGATACATTTAACCAGGTTTGCGATGAAACTTTGGCCGCTTACGCTCTTAATCATCAAGGAGACTTTAATGAATTGACAGGCGCAGTGGCTGACTGGATAGCAGCCCAGAAGGCTAAGGACCCGGAGAACCCAACTGCGGCACAAAACAAAGCATACGACCAGGCTTTTAACAACTTGGTGACTGTCATCAATGTTCATAATAATAAACAGACGCAAGCACAACGCTTAGCAGACGCTAATGAAATGATCGAAATACAAAATAAACAAAAAATAGACGGCTGTAAAGATTTAAAGCTAGATGATTTCAATTGTCCTATAACGCAATAATAAACTAATATGCATCTAATCGAATTCGGAAACTATTAGTTGCTTTAAAACTAATAATAATATAAAAATATGAAAAAAGTCTACTCGGTTTTGTTCATTTAACTATTTAGTTTGTATGATTTTTCAATTAGCGCAAAGTATTTATACATATAATTTAATTGGAAATGAGCGGTTTTCAAGTAGTTTTACATGGGCAATACTTAAGAAAAAAGTGATTATACAATTTTTTTTTAAAGTTTCAAGGTCTTATTTTTAACTTATCCATTTCTTCCGTTTCTTGAAAAGTAGCCGAAGAACCCGTATATCTTTATAGATATACGAGATGGAATCAGACCATCCGAAATGGTCAACAACTTTGGTCTAAAAGGTCAAAAAGACAGATCCCTTAACAATACTATTAAATCAATTTAATTTTTATCCTGCTGTCGCATTTCGAAATATAGATATAACGTAAGTCATAATCATACACATAATTTAGGGTGGTTAACCATGCCGGTTGTGCTTAGCACTTTAAACTGAAAGAATTGAGCTGAACGCATTTCAGTCACTACCTTCCTTATCTATAACATAATGGTGTTGCAAGTTCTGTGGTTTATAATTTGTACAATATTAAGTTGTAGATTTAACAACAAAGTTTCTTACAAGCAAACATCAAACCTAAAAGCAACGGGTTTGTTTTCTTAATAAAGACGAAAACATAAACCTTCTTAAGACCCATTTATAGTGTTATTGTTGCTTTTCCTGTGGGTAAATATTTGGTTAAAATTGATAATGTTGTTATGAAAGCGTTTTAAGTGTTAACTGTTTAGTGCATCTGTGTGCTTTAACAACTAAGATGGACAGTTAAATCCTTTTCCAGTAACTTTTAGATTAACGAGTAACTCTTATTATGTTTTAACGTATTAATTTAAAGATCGATATTATATTAACGGTTACACAGCAAAGGGTCTAAGCGATTATTCTTATACAACTTTAGATCAATTGGACGTAGGAAAATGTGCTTCATCTATGCTCAAAAACAACTGTGACCATTATTTATTGAACAATTTAATCTTTAAGTTTACTTTAAGAACAACAAATAAATAAATAGCGAAACGACTTAATAATTTGTTTTTCTCAATAAATAGGGTCTAAATGACAATGATAGGATTTATGTATTTAAAATATTAATTTATATACAATATTATTATTAAAATATGTATTACAATATTATAAAAAAATCACCAAAAAACATTTTCACAGTTTTCCTAAAAACTAAAATAAATGTCGATTGGACCCTTTTGCCTTGTAATCATCAATATATACTAAAATTGTAAAAATGACTAACTTTTTCTATGAACCTTAACATTTTTTTACACACAGTTTACAGCTGTTTGATATTGTAATAAAAGGTCATAAATCCGGTTCAAAAATAGTCTTATATTCATATAATTAAACCGTTAAAATATCATTGGTATATAACGTTCACAAAATCATACTAAAAATACAATTTATGGTTTAATATAAACTTTGATTATTAAAAAAAAATCTCATTTAGTAATCATCAATAAAACAAAATTTACCGGTAGTTTGAAATACTTGGTCAATAATATTCAGGGAATTAAAATCAACAATCAATTTGTGTAATACATAAATATATATATTGCCCCATTACATGAAATACTTATAAACTATACAAATAGCAAATAGACACTAAAAATGTATTTCTGAATCTATATTATACGTACATGTACCAATTTTTTTAATAAAATAAAAATATACAATAATAAAAGTTAGTTATTAAATTTAAATGTGATAATATAAATACGCCCCTTTTGGTAAGCAACTAAACCGATACAACAATAATTAGTAAATAACTAATAATAAAAACAATAGCTAATAATATCAATAGAGTAAATTATTAAAAATAATGAGGGTTTAGAACAAATTCTAAGTCATTATTTTTGAAAAAATATTAATTATATCAAAATAATGGTAAAAAATGATAGAAAGAAAAAAGTGGCTATTGATTAAAAAGAAAACATTTTTTTTCTAATATGTGACAAATTTTTTTACATTTACGTATTTTTTGTGACTGAAATGACGACAGTACAAGTAGTATAATACATAATGCACCAGTATTAAAATTATTCCTTTATAGAAAATTATTCTACCACAAATAATTTAAACAGTTGTCGATAAAAAAACAAAATTTTAATTTTTTTATTTTAATATTAAATCTTAAGATAACAAATTAGGAGTTTTATTTAACTTTATGGCCGTAGTGGCCTTGGTTATAAATTATAGTTCTACAATATATTTTATGTGATTATAACAGTATACTAATATGAAATAAATCACATCAAATAACTCACGCCAATGGTTTATACTTGTAATTAGCAAATTTAAAACTGTAATTGCATTTTTGTAGCAAGAAAACGGTAAAGAATACATAGAAAAAACGATGAAACGATATAATTAGTCATACAAACAGTTAGGAACAATTTATTTTGTGAGAGTTACTTATGTGATGGGTTGAAGTTCTGAACGTTCACACCGTAACGGTATTACACATTCTACTACCATAGAATTGCATATGATATCGTAAGCACATCTGTTTTGATTGGCTGTGGCACTAATAAAAGGCAGCGGAAACAAAAACGCGAAAATAAAATTTTTAGTTAACGACCGCAATAGCGCTTGTTGCCAACCCAAATCGCCGCCAGGCGACAACACAATGACATGAGGTGGCTGACCTCGTAAATGGTAAATTTTCTCGGCGTTTACAACCGTTATGTTTAACAGCATTTTACCAATCGTCGCTCCACCTTCGAATGAATTTCCACTTTGCAACCAATATATCTGAAATAAAATATATTATATTACTAATTTCTGAAAAAAACATAATAATTTGAGATAAAAATACTATGACACTTAATTTCAACTTGTATATTATGTTTACCTCGTATAAGCAAACCACTAGTCGATGAGTAACTTCAAGAAATAATAGCTCAGATGTCATTTCTACTGCTGTATCGTAATCCACGTTAAAGTCATCTTGCATTATGATACTGTTATATTTTGTGAAGTTTCTAAAAATATTTAAACGAAAAATAGTTATAAAAAAAAAATGTATTAGACAAATTACATTTTTTTAAAATTTTAAGACGGTTAATAGTTAAACTATTTTTCTTATAGTTCTTAATTACACTGGTTTACATGGTTTAAAACCAAAGCAGCCAAAGGTCTTTAAAAGGTAATTAATAGCGCTGATAGCAAATCCGCATACATGGCTGAGCTTTTTTTTAGCAATTGGTATGTATAAATTGTGGTTTTATTTGTAAAATATCAAAAAATTAGAAATGGAATGCAGTGGAACGAGCCATTCGTATTGTTTTACATTGGTTTCTCTTGTAAGAGACAAACTATAATAGTTGAGCATTTCTTCATTCCATAACCTATTTAGTTTCTCTCAATGAAGAAATCTGGTGTTACCACTCTTCTTACTCATCGCTCTATCGCCCATTTTTCTCGGAAAGAAATCCTGATTGGGTTATAGAAAACGGATATTCGACAACAACGGAACTCCAATTTTACAGTAATTTTTTAAACGATAAGCTATATATTTCCCTTTAGTTGTCATATTAAAATGTACGTACAATTTCTACGATATCTGCTGTAAGTTACTGTGACAACTTAATGCAACCAATAAACAAATTTCAAAAATCTGACCTGATGGCGAGTCACGACCAACGTAATTGGAATTGAAGCGTAAAAAACACATATGTATTCCCGGGTCTATAAATTGACTGTTATTTTGTACATCTGTGTTATTATAACTAATTAAAGAATCATGCAAAACACCTTGTAAGATATGTTTTATGTTTTCTAATGTACATTCGAAAAACTGATAAACATTACCTTAAATGTGTTTTGCAAAAATGCCATAACATTATTTTTAAAGGAATAAAGTTTAAGCCATTTTTTACACACTCGTTATTTTCTTCAAAAAATCCGCCTTGTGCAGCGTAATTTTAAAAAGGCTGTAATCAAAACTAAGAAACCAAATTTTCACATAATACAGACAACACCATTATCTGTGCTCTATCTGAATAATTAATTAATTAAGAAAGGACTTTTTTAAGAATTATATAGCGTCGGTTGTATAAGATATGTCGAAAAAATATGGATGCTGGAGCACAGATAACTTTGTCAGGTATAATATGTATGAATATCTTTCTTTAGCTATACATGAAGCCTGAAAAATATTAATCCGCGCAAAGCAGTTAGTTTTGATGGGCAATTTTTTTTTAATTTATCCTATAGAAATGACTGTGATAGTCTGACAAAAAAAAATGGCAATCAAAAAAGTATCCTCATTACTGTATTAATAAGTATACATTATAGTTCAAACTCTAAATTAAAATTTTAGCCGAGTTTTGACTTAAAAAAATAAAAAAATTTACTTTTGTGCGAGTGGCATTTTTTACAATAAAGAATAAAAAATGTAAGCAATTTTTTTAATTATGAAAGAAAAAAGTTTTGCAACGTAAACCGAAGCTAGCTATCATTACTTTAAGGAGGCACCTGGAGTCTTTATTTGATAAATTAATTTAAAAAACATTAAATCAATTTTTTTTTAAACTTTTTAAAAGAGAAACCTTTAAATATTATCCTTGAAACATTATTTAGCATATCATTAGATTGGAGGGTCGTGAATTACCACTATCTATTTTTTTTATGAAGTATAATAAATGTTTATCAACAATTTTAGTAAAATAAGTTTATACTTTGGTCGCAAACAATTTTCAAAATGTACTGAATTTTAAGCTTGTTACACCAGCACCTTATATACAAAAATGGCAGAAAATATTAACATAATGAAAAAACCACAATACAGTTTTTACAAACCAAAACTTAAAAAAATTATATTTTGAAACAAGGTTTGCATAAAACGTATTTTTACTTAATGGTGTATCGATAAAATATATAAATTACATTTTATGCAACTTCCACTTGCCTTATAAATAAATTCATTTTTTCAATTGAAAAATATATGAAAATGATATAGTATTATATGTAATGAATATATATTGAAAAAATATTTGACGAAATGAAATAAAATGCGAGTTATAATTAATAATGTTGTTTATGTCTATTTTGCAAAAAGACCTGCTTATTCATTTTTGCGGTTCTGCCGCAGACATATAAAAAGGAATACTTGTACAAAGTATATAAAACTGTTAACATTTTGATAAAGTTGGTGATGGTTATAATTAAAAAATTGAATTTTATCAAAAATTTGTAGTTTTAGTTAAATAAATATGGTAAAACGCCCCATAAATACAAAAGGTAACTTACATTTCCAAAGAATCAATAGCCAAATAAGCAACCAGGAATTTAACCAGACTTAACAAAATGAAATCAATAAACTCTGCTGCAAGACGCTTCCACAATGATGGTACTCGACACGTGTAACCTATTTCAAATAAAATCTCGGTTAATGTATGTACGAGAATTTGACTTGTGTACTAAAAATTAAGAATACCATTAAAATAATGATTGCGATCGACCTCCGTTTGCTGAGCAGATGCTTGTCGAGGTACGTTCTGGTGAGGCGTTGCAATCTTTGGCGGCTTCGGTTGTTGAATACTTTGCAATGTCTCCTTTTGCAAATGATTGTAAAATACCTGATAACTGTTCACAGTGGCTAACCATGAACGTAAGTGGTTAAAATATTCTTCTCTTCGTTCTTTACTGGACTTTTTGAAGTTATTTGCATCGTTCGGTATCGAATCGCCATTGTCAGATGATTTCTTATCCATTATTTTACGCAATTAACACTCCGGAATCTTAAGACAATCGAAACGATAATATTAGTGCGAACACGTCGTTCGACAAAATCTACTGGAACGTACAATAAAATACTTTATTAACAATGTGAAATCAAATAAAATCATATGCAAAACAAAATATTAAACACGTCTTTGAAAGTTTCGCTAATATTGAACGAGCATAAAACTAGCAATTCCATTCTAGCAATTTGTGATAACGATTTTCCGTATGGACCGCCGTGGTGGGTTTGCACACTTACCACGAATGTTGCATGCCACGACATAAAATTATTCCGACATTGCTTTATCAGTCATTTGCCACGAATATAATCTACTTCGAACATTATACAATTGCTACGATTAGACGGTTAGTCCGAATTCAACATATTCCGGCATCGTAAAGTAATAAAATAAATCATACAACAGTTAACCCGATATTGTTATACCACGAAAGTATTTTACTTCGACAATACATGATAAGAATACTTGACCACCGAGCACCGACTATTATGATTGTATTATGAAAATATACTATATTATATTATTGTCAGTATTTTACTCATTATTTACTTGGTATTTTTACAGTATTTTGTCTTAGATTTACACATTTAGGTGTACAGACAGGGAAATTACAAATTACTATTTAAATAAATGTTGTCACTAGTACTGCCGGCGGGCCGAATGAGTTAATTTCTATAATGGGCCGAACACTGTCCAGCCCACCACTGAATCCAACTCTACAAAAACATTTTGGACTAGCTACTGATAAATTTAAGGACATAATTTTAATGTTAAATTCATTAAATACATTTTATAGTATATTTTTCATTAATTATTATCAATTGCACATTATAATATACAATATTTTTTTTTTATTATTGGTTAAAAAATTATCTTATTTTATCTTATCATATTATTATTAAGTTATAAATTAAAAACATTTATATTATGCTGTTAAATTTCTTGACTTTTCGAGATTTGTTTTTGTTGATTAAAAGTGACACAAGCCATGAAATTGATTTTCATCTTTTATATTGATGTTATGTATCAAACATTTATTCAAATATGTAATTAATTAATTTGAACGAGGCATGGTTTTTAGCAGTATATACTATAATTGATTTTTTGTCATAATAGAACACGACACAAAGTTGAAAACTTCCCAATGTTACAGATAATTATAGAAATTTAAAAGTTGGGTTTTATGAAAATATTGAAAAATAAAGAAAAACTAGTTTAGTACTAGGCATAATTGGGTTTTAAATTATTATCATTTCAATACGGAGATCGTAGGTAAAGTAAGTTCATTTAAAGTGCAAAACCAACATTCACAACGCCAAAGTGCTCTTGCTTATTTTCCTACAATGTATTAAATTTAATTTCTAAAATATGCCTAATTTGTTATGATATGTAATCTTATATTTAAAAAAATATTATTTCAATATTTCTATTTCTACGACAGTGCAAATATTAATGGATAGGGAACACCCTTTACAATTCATACAGAAAACAGATGTCACATATTCTAATACAATAATATGGCTGAATTGAATATTATAAAATGTAGGTAGGTCAGTAAACCTGTCGGATTATTGTGAGTTACTCTCAATCAATGTAATGTAATAAAGAAAACTTCCTGTAGGACCGGTATAGTTAAAAAGTGTACTCGCCGGGGGTTATATTTTTAATATTTTTCCGTGGGACTTGGCTATAACAGAACGGTAGCGATAGTTGTTCGGTGACCGCCGCGCGGCGGTGGTATCGCGTTTGCCGGGCCGCGGCGATGGGTCCGTCGCCGCCGGCCGGGCAGTTGTGACGGTATATGATGCGGCCTCTAGCGGTAGATATTATGAGATTTCTTAGGTGACCAGTCGGTAACCACTGCAGTCCAAACGGAAAATCGTTATCACGAATTGCTAGATTCATACGGGACGCGATATATATAATGTACATTTTATAATAAATTATAGAATTTTTATGAAATATATGTATACATATATATATATATATAGGTTTAGGTTAGGTTTAGAATAGATTAAGAATAGGTTTAGAATAGATTTAGAATAGGTTTAGAATAAGTTTAGAATATATTTAGAATAGGTTTAGGTTAGGTTTATAATAGGTTTTGAATAGATTTAAAATTGATTTAGAATAGATTTAGAATAAGTTTAGAATAGGTTTAGAATAGATTTAGAATAGGTTTAGAATAGGTTTAGGTTAGGTTTAGGTTAGGTTTAGGTTAGGTTTAGGTTAGGTTTAGGTTAGGTTTAGAATAGGTTTAGAAGAACAGATTAGAGAATAGGTTTAGGTTAGGTTTAGAAGAATAGATTTAGATTAGGTTTAGAATAGATTTAGAATAGGTTTAGGTTATGTAAGGTTAGTTTATTCATAAAAATTCTCTTTTTCATAAAAATTCTATATTTTATTATAAAATTTTTATTTTTCATAAAAATTCTATATTTTTTTATAAAAATTCCATTTTTCATAAAAATTCTATATTTTATTATAAAATTACTAAATACATAAACATTTTATTTTTTATTATAAAATTACTAAATTTTTTACAAAAATTCTATATTTTATTATAAAATTTCTAAATTCTATAAAATTTCTAAATTTCATAAAATTTTTATATTTTATAAAAATTATATTTTTTATTATAAAATTTCTAAATTCCATAAAATTGTTATATTTTATAAAAATTCTGATTTATTATAAAATTACTAAATTGCATAAAAATTCTATATTTTATTATAAAATTACTAAATTGCATAAAAATTCTATTTTTTATTATAAAATTTCTAAATTTCGTAAAATTTTATTTTTTATAAAAATTCTTTATTTTATTATAAAATTATAAAAGGTCTATATTTCATAAAAGTTTTTTTATATATTATTATTATACATATAGTTTTGCACATTATTGCATAATATAATACTCGTAATTGTTGTATTAGATAAGGTCTACCTGTATAAACGTATCAGTTAGTAATCAGTTATCACGTTAGTTATGTACTGACCCATCGCCGTATACACAACACTACGTTCATTCAAATTGTGTTCATAATTATTTTAGTGTTTTAATAAATAATGAATATTTTGTTTAATCGCAGTAAACTTGACGTGTTCGAGTACATTATCATTTAGACCGACCTTAGCATTATTATTTATTGTTACAGAACAATTATTTTTAGTGAAAATCGACTTTTTATCTAGAAACAAGCTCGTCAACGGGTTAACGCACAGTCTTGTGACTTGCAGCTCTTCCATCTGTGGCCGGTAGCGCCGGCGGAGACTGAGGTGCGCTTACACATGTGTGTGTATACTATAATTGTGCTGTGTGTGTGTGTGAATGGTTATTTTGGGACGTCATCGCTAGATTTGTTTACGACGATCCCTTTTCACCACATGGATATACTTATCATGTCTGTATGTCAGTGACTTAACGGCGCTGCGACCATACGGCAGTATAGTGTGTTCGGCCAACGTGTACAAACAGCTACGCTGCCGCAGTGCCACGACCGTCGCCGTCTGCTGTGGCGTTATTTTGCGTTTGTCGGTTTTTTTTTTTGGGGGACTACTCAATATACGTGTAGAAGCATATATATATATATATATTTTTTTTTTTGTTCAAATCTTAAAATCAGTCGCTTGTCTTTTTTTCAATCAAATTCAACTAGATCGACGACCAGTGATAGCCACAATGCCGCTCGTACCGGTAAAGCACACGCCCATCGTCAAGATCAGAAGAACGGATAACGCCGGTTTCTATTTCAACCCCGGCTTCCGACCGTTTGTTATTGATGGGTAAGTCCGGCTGTGCAATAAGACCTACATTTTAGGGGGTGCTAAAATTATGTACACCTGACTAAACATAATTCTTAGGTATCTTCAAACCATTAGATATAAAAGAAAATATTTGAAATAAAAAATATTCTAAAAAAAAATAATTGAACAAAATTATAACAAATTAAATTATTACAACTTTATGCGTACAAATCAAGGATTGTGGTTTAAATTTTGGGGTGCCCTAATTTTGAGCCTGGGGGTGCTTAAGATGTGCACTATTTGTGCATATGTAAGTAGCGTTCTTTTGTTTGACAGTCCGCTAGTAAAGTCGAAAGATATAATGTAGTGACTTAATGTGACATAATCCCTTCTTCACAGTTAGGTGCGTACATTTAATTTAAGTTGAGGGGGAGGGGCTGACTCTTGTACAAAAAAAATCAAGTGGAATACTTCGGTTTTCACCGAATCTGATAAATTTTAATATAATCCCAAAACTACAGAATCTGACGTCTTAAATTTCCATTATGAGGAGAGAATTTAACTTTCCAATTACAGCCTGATATTTGAGTGAATTTGACATGCTGAAAAATATCAAATGAAATTGGATCAAATATTTATAAAGCTGAACAAATTTGAATTTGGTCCTCTGTTAGAACTTATTCAAATAAATATTGAAAAGTTATTGGGATTGAAAGCTGACGGGTTTTAAGGAGTTTTATGTATGCAATGTGTAAGAAAAAAGTATTATTTTTAACTTATATAATTTGTCTATGAGTAAAAGCCATTTTTGTGGTAAAAATATGCTTTTCATATGACAAAATTAGAGTTTTGATTAATTCAATTTCAATTCTACTAAAGTATAAGAAAATGTTGGGTTATTTACCAAGTTATGTTGAAAACAGAATTTTATTTAAAAAACTAAATTTGTTTGTAATTAAAAAAATTGAATAATTTTTCTAGAATTAAACGATTTTTTTTACATCAAAAAATAAAAAATCTGTTTGCTAAAATAACCTAGTAAAATATTCAAAGAAATTATTATATGTTTACAGAGTTGAAATTGTACTATCTTAAGTACTCATTGCGAAGTCAGAATTTTTGGTCTTCAAAACAGACCACCTTCAATCTCCTTAATTAATGTTATATTTTACAATACGAATTTAAGAAAAAATTTAATTTAAAAAATCAAATTATTTAAATAATTTTCAATACATTAACAGGTAATACTAATATATATTATATATATATATATAAGTATAATGAATCCTCTTTCTGTCTTATGTACACCACCTAATCATGTCAGGGGGGGGGGGTAATTTAAGCTATATCCTTCTTGTTTAAAAATATGAATTAATTAAATTTAATTAAACAAAATTATTTTTTAGCGGGTTGATATCGTCTTACTTAATTCTATCTCACGTAACTCTTTGCTAGTTTTTTTTTTATAGACAATTGGCTTTTACAACCATAAACTTAAGCAGAAACCAGGGTGATCCAAGTTAAAAGTTGTCTAATTCCTAGTATTAAGGATATAATACAATTGTTTTTTTTTTCATTTTTTTTATAGTGTTTGATACATTTTAACGTGTTGTGGATGTTTATTGATTCGTTTTTGAGGCATTCGGTTTGGTTATTTCGTGTACGGCTTCTGTTCTTTCTTTATTAAATTGTCGGGATCCACTGTAGATTTTAAAACACAACAAATATGGCACATACATTTCGAATTCGTTACTCACCGTATTTCATAAGTGTTTTCAAAGCAGAAATACATAATGTGTTTTGGCGCTGTACACCTACTTCGCTAATGACAAAATGAGTTCATTAGCCTACTTTACATAACACTACTTTACAGAAAACTGTGTTGAACAATACAGATTCATTTTTATCGATTATACATATTAGCCAAATCCATTAGCTGTCTAAATGGATATTGGAATAAAAAGTTACATTTCACAGACGATTGATAATAGCGTTGGATAATCAAGTTCTATTTAAAAAACAAAAAAAGAAGAGAAGCTCATGAACGACGATGTGAATAGATTTTAATTCAATTAAAATGTCCTCCCATTAACTATCATTCTGCTCACAATGATTACATTGCAAAACACTAGTATAGGTACCTATTTTGTTTGCTTACGTACACTACTGTTTTTGCTTAGTGTCAGAGGTTGCCCTTTTTTTCTGATTATATTGTTTCCATCGCACTATAGTAAACATACTCGAGGTCGGTTTAATTAAAAACAAAATTCCGTAAATGTCTGGTTTTAATGTAAATACCTATCTACAAAATACTTAGCGTGAAACTCACAGCCGTCAGTGAAAACTTTTTTCAAAGGCTATGTGATTTTGACAAGAAAGTCTAATTCTCGTTTACGACTTACCGTGTGCTATGCATTATCACCAGAAAAACGTCGGCGTGTTGGCTCATGTGTTGTCAATGTAAAAATACACTTAGTTGCCGGCCAACGTCTCATAATAATTATTAGTGGTAAAAAAAAAAAAAAACCTATTGGGCGACAGAATATTATAATAGTCGTGTTACGGTCCGTTTTTCTTTAATTTTCTCCGGCAGGCGTTTGCCAGATCCACTTGGCCGAAGGTCGCGGTTTTTAAAATTATTTTCGGTTAATATATTATTTTATATACTGTCTGCCTTTTTGATGGTCATCTGAGCATTTTACATTTGCAAAAAGCTCAGAACACCCGCGGCGCTAGACAACAACTATTATTAACGATTCGGCGCCTGTGGCCCCCCCGTTAAATCGCCGCCTTCCCTTTACAAACCGTCTCTGTCTCGAGTTTACCTTAGATTTTCTACTTTACTAGTCTTTTCTTAAATGGACGTCCCACTTCTGTAATTGAGGTGTAAAAATACTAGCTAAATTTTAAGCCGTCTCATTTCAATTTATAACAGTCGTTAGGCACCTAATACCTATCAAAATGTTGAAAACATTCATACAACAATACACATTGCACACCTAGGATATTGTTTTGTTGGCTTGATCATTTTTTTAATTCACTTTCTGTGTACTTAAATTAGTTTTAGTGGTAATCTTAATGAATCACTGTATAAAAACAACAGAAATGTACGCCGTGAAGTATTCGTTTTTAAATGTGATACAAATGTTTAAATTCTATGATCTCTACCAACTAAGTAAAATAGTTTATAACTGACCAATATTGACAAAAAAAAGTCAATAGACAATAACGTTGTAAATGATCGTCATGGTAGGCTGATAAAAAATTGAATTACTTATGAAATTACTCTTTTACTGAACCAATAAATATTGTAGATATTTCACAATACACTTACAATACATAATACACTTTAATAATTGTATTAAATTCTAGACATTTTTTTATTATAATAATTTAGATAACAATATACGTTAGGTCACGACCTTCAAAGAATATAGCTGTTGGTCTCAAGGGGCTGAACCATGTATGCGATCATATAAACAATAGATTTATATTATAATAATGAGAGTGGATGAAAAATTATAAGAAAAACAATGCTAATAGGGTTTAACAATTATTTTGGGAATACTTAGGTCAGTAGGAGGAGGGCTTAATATTATATAGATTTTAGTTTTAGCTCACTGTACGGTCGGTGAAAAATGTGGATTGCAGAACGCAGACACTTTGTACGGTCCAAATTTGATTGGATTTGATGTTTCAACTAATTTATTGAAGAAGTTATTCTTCACTAAAATTGTTTGTTCGGTGTGATTTAAACATTGTTTGGTCTTTTGCATTCCAAATAAAAGGAAGGAACTGTAGATTGTTATGTTACCATAGACATATGGTTCTATTAAAGTACAAAATGAGAGGCCTAAAGAAAATGTTGTATACATATTATGACTAATTTCAATTAAAATGTCGTTAGCAGCTAAAATGTTGTCGTTATTTTTCCTTGGCACGTAACAACAGAAAATTCCCAACGTACCTATATCATTCAAATTGCTATACAAAACAGTGTTGTGAAAACCATCTTTAACGAGTTTTGCTCTTAATTATGTGTAAGTTGTTTGTGGCCATTATCTTAGTTCTCGTCTTAGTGAAATTGATTTCTAGTTTTAACGACAAACGCATGTTTTTTCTGTTTAATATCGGTTAATTTCGATAGGAAATATTATTTATTTTAAAACAATATTCGAATAATCAATGTTCGGCTCGTGCTAAGGTTCCGCATTTTGCAAACTACATTTTCCCCCGACCATACAAAGTGACCTTAGATTTTACTGCAATTAAATTTAAGAGAACCGACGCCTCTGATTAGCCTTATCAAAGTTGGACAAATATTTAACATATTACAATATAGTACACTATAAATTAAAATTGATTTCCTACGGGTTCAAAGGTCTATTAACTTGTGGTAATCACAGCTGCACTTTTCGTGAATGAGGTCACCTACTCCCTCTTAAAATGCACAAAACACATAAGTTAAATAGATAGATATGGCGTTTGACGCAATTCGCAAACCTTTGACAAACTTCTAAAATTGTTTATTATTTTTTTGTCAACTGAATGATGCGATTGCTTCTGTTCAGTGCAGTTTGAAATGTTTTTAATGTGTGAATCACAATAATTGTTATTGTGCTAATAGAAAATACGTTTTTTGATAACATTCAAAATAGGTCATAGTTATACGTATTGTTTTTAGGTAACTAAATATTAAAAAAATAATTATTTATTTGCGTAACGCAAATAGAGCTTAAATAACACTCCCAGATTTCCCAACATGCTCAACGCAATCAGTTAGTTAAAAACAATCCATTTATTAGCAGTTCTTATAAATAATTATCCTATAATTATTTTCTATGACTGTTAAAAATATTGTGTATTGATCAAAATGTCTATACGACGATCCAAAATATTAGCTGATAAATTAAATTAGTTGTTTACTATTTTTATAAGCTCAACTTGGTTGGATCCATGTGCATGAACCGTTCTTTTTCAAAATATTTCACAGAACGAGTACATAATAAATACATTTATCTACAGAGAACACTAAATAT